ACACAAAATTTGGAGAGCGTGAAGTCACCCAGGGGGTCAAATCTCCTGATAAGTCGACCCGGAGGTGACCTACTGCCCGTGCCATCTTCAGGTGGGGCAGAAGGTGCTCGAGTCCGTGATGATGAGCCCATCGTCGTGGTGTTTGAACGCATATTGAACACATTTAAGATTTGGCTACTAAAGCGAGACCGAATGAAGGATCTCAAGCTCTCTCCATCCTCATCGTCACTGTCCTCTCCCCTTTCACTTATAATCGATTCGATAGCACGATCTTCTTCGGCATTGCTAGAAAGAGCAGGTGCAGCATTGTTTGTACCATTGCTGCTGGACTCGACCAAATGATGAGGAGCAAACCTAAAGAGGAGGCCATCAAGAGGGGATTCTGCTGAAGGTATTTTGCGACGATCGAACACCCTAATACGAGAAGGAAATAAGCAATAAATAGTCATTAATCGAATGATAAGAAGAATCATATATATATATAATAAGCGGATACTAACTTGACATAAGGATCATACTTCCACCGACACAAAACTCTGCTGGCTTGACTGGGTTTATTGCGATCGAATAGAAAGGCATCAATGGTAGACTTAGTATTCTAAAATAAAAGTAAGGTAGTTCAGAATTCCATTGGTCTCATTATTTGACTTTTAAATTAAGCCATCTGCAACTTGAGGAGTGTATGGAGAACAATGTAATTTAGGGACGTTAAACAGATCTTACCGGGCCTCCTTCACTACAAATTGGTCATAAGCTATCCTTCACTAATCAGTTTCGTCTTGTCTCTAGAAAGATATGCAAAGGTAATATGATTCCTATTTTCCAGGAATAAAAAATATTTATTTTGTTTTATACAGAAGGCATAACATTGATCTTATTCCACAGGCACGTCACTTCCACATCATGGTAAAATCATTCGCCAAATGGCACGTCGTCATTGTTTGATGCATTAAATTATTGATTCAGTGCGTTTGGCCAATCACAATTGAAACGATTCCAAAACCAATTTTACAGGAAGGCTAGATATCGTCTCTCTCTCTCTCTCTCTCTCCACCCTCCCTCCCTCCCTCCCTCTCTCCCTATCATATCTTCATGAGCAACGCTTGAACGATTTGGCCACCTCGAGTAAGTGCATTTGCTCTTATTCTCGAGGCTTTATTTGAGGTTCAATGTGCTCCTACAGATAAAAAGGGCAGCATTTGAGACCTATGCCCTTGCAAGAGAAAGCAACAAAACGAATGGCACCAGCTCAAATGCTATTTTGGGATTTTACATATTACCCTTATTATCATTATCATCATCATCATTATTATTATTATTTCAAATGGCTGGCTTTATGATATCTCTCATTAGCCCTTAAACTTTGATTTCAGCTTTCCCCATGTGTAGGGGGTACATATATAGCAGTTAATTAATAGCAGTTCATTATCTGTCTTCTTGCTTCCCAGTATCTCTGGGTTACCGTCAATGTCTTCAGCAACTTTGCAATGGCTTCGGTTCTTGGCCAGTCGGCTACGTCGGAGAGTGCCATTATCCACTGTTTCTCCTTTGTTCGAGCTTTAAGTTAGTTGCACCTTGAGGTCTGGGATTCTCTCCTGCTTAAGGTCTTCATTGTGTGGAAAGATATCGGCTGGTCTATGCCTTGCAAAAGTTTTGTCCCCCTTATTAGCAAGTGTGTCAGCAAGCTCATTGCCTTTAATGCCACAGTGACCAGGAATCCATTGTAGGACCACTGTTTTGTTTTTCTCTCGCAGCAGCTGCTAGAGTTTTCTACATTCCTTTATCTCAGCTGTTTTGGGTGGCTCTCTGTTTCTAATTGAGTTTATTGCTGACCGTGAGTCCGAAAGTATCACCGCTTTAGTGAATTTCGTATCCAGGCAACATAATTGGTATAGTGCTATCCTAATGGTCTCTATCTCTCCTTCGAAAGCGGATCTATTGTGTTCCGCTGCTGCGTAGAAAGAGAAGTGTTCGGAATAGACACCTTCACCAAAGTTTGCTTGGTTTTCTATGTATGACCCATCAGTGAGGACTTGGAGCCATTGATCTGCAGGATATTTGACATTGATTGTCTCAAGGGCCAGTGAGCGCATTTGTTCTGGAGGGGTGTTTGATTTCCTGAAGAAGTCAAGCAGTTGGGTACAACACACTACATCAGTGTCTGCTAATGGGCTCATGGGTAGAGAGGGGCTTTTTGGTTTGTAATCGATTTGTAATGCTTTCTTCACTTCTATGGCTTTCTGTGTTAGACCAGATTGCGTTTTCAGATGTCTTGGTCTATTCTCATAGGTGCTGAAGAACTTATCCATGGGAATGCGCAGTAGCTTCTCTTACAGGATGAAGGCCTTTTCTTTGATAAGGGAACATATTGTGGTGCTTCCTGTAACTAGGAGCATTGCATCAATGGGTGTAGATTTTATCCCTCCAGTAANCCAGTCAGGCTTCCTGAAGTTCCATGATAGCTTAGTTGGTGCTTTCGTTGTCATGCTTTAGCTGGTGATGGTAATACTAGCAATACCTGGTTTGTTTAGAACCAGGATCGTCAATTATTTTGCAGTGTGCATGCTCTCTGATGTCGCCAGGAGCAAGTCAGGAGTTGTTCTGGTTCCATTGTAGTGTAAATATGTAGCAGGATCCTTATTGCTGTAAATAAGTTCTAGAGGGTTGCTGTTTAGCATGTCTTCGATTTCCTTTCCAGCGATGTTTGTATTCTTATAGCCCCATCTGGTGGAATGTGCGTTGAAGTCTCCTCATACTACAGTTTTATGTTAGATGTTCAGGAAATCAAAGTTGATACTATTCTGGGGTGGATTATAGACTGTGTATATCTTGAAGTGTTCTTGACATTTCCAAATATTTAATTTGATTAGTTCGTACATATCCTACATCGAGTCCATACTCTTGATTAGATCGAAATGTGAAGTGAGGCCTTCTTTTACTTCAGTCAGAATTCCACTTCCAACTTGCCGATATTTAGGTATAAGGTATAAGGTGTAATCTGGGAATTGGTAGCATTTGAGTTTGTCATCCGTAAGGTTTGCTTCCATGATTGTGAATATGTCTATATCATAGGTATGTAGGACTTTCTGGATCTGGATCTCCTTGTCCTGTGACATCCCTCCAGCATTCCATTGAAGGATCTTTAGAAGTTGTGATTCGTCCCGACGAGGGCGATTTCTCTTATAGCTCCGTTTCAAGCTAATCATAACAAATAGAAGTCAAATGCCGTGTAATAGACTTATTTGCCGTGAAAAAATTCGTTTTCAACATATCAAAGATCGCTATAAAGTGTGCAATGGACTTGCCTCCTCGTGGTGCACCCTGGGAAACGTGAACTCATACGGCAAAAAGTCTATTAACTGGCAATTGACTTCTCACTTCAAACCACCATCACCTAACTATATGTCATATTCGACTATTTTCACAGTACGCACCTCATTTTTACCTACCTTTGTTTTCATCTCTTACATCTTTGAAACACTCTTCTGTTGCCCCCCCCCCCATCTCGATTTTTTTTTCTGTGAAGTCTGAAGTCAACATCAAGACGCCTGCCATTTAATATAAATAAATAAATGAATGATTGCTATAAAAGTTGATCTAGTCTATTCTGATCGCAAGTTCAAGACTCAAAAGATTATGCCTACTAAATCAACAAAATAACTTTGTTGAGTCCGATGGGTGACTGACCCATGTGCACCTAGTTATTTCGGAGAACTTTGCATCATTCTTCAGCTTATACAAATAGAAGGCCGGGTGAATGCAATTCTCATTTTTATCACCAAATATCAATCCAGTTTTACTTCTCACAACTACCCGTCTGGACTGGTTCCTAGAGCAAAGATTGGCAACGATGTTCGCTTAGTATCGTTTCAGTACAGTTATGAATGGAAAACGCCTCAATAACATTATTGTAGAGAAGTGGTAATAAAACCCAATGAACTCAGTGTACACCGAGGAAGAAAATGCACGGTGTTTTGACTCCGATATTTTAATGGAAATGCATTAGCATTTGTAATGGACATCACCAAAATCCCAGTCCTTTTATAACCGCCGACCACTCAGTAACCACTTCGTTACACGATGTTCCTCTCAGATGTCACAATAATAATTATGGCCTTCAATGAGGTTGTGTCCATGATACAAAGCTTATGCCTGAAGAAATCTAAGATTGGTCAAATATTGCAGTCACTATTCATTGGTGCTTAGATGAGATGCCCCACACCCATTAACACACCTTTGGGCATCTCTGTGGTAGACCGTAACCATCCCTTAAATTACTTCAGAAAATTAACTATTTAACAATACACTACGATAACTTCATAAGGGCTCAATTAGAACCGGACTACCATATTACGACAAACACGTTTTCCTATTGACAGGTCAACTTATTTCACTTGCCATTTACTAACTGCATTAAGGCAAAAACGGATCGTACATATACAAGCGATATGAGCATTAAGTACCAGCATCTTCCACATCATGGGCCTATTTAATCTCTCTATCTATCGCTTTCCCACTTACGTATATCCATGCATTGACAGTAACCAATCAGAGACCAAAGACCATGAAATCCGTCGATGACAATCGCACCATATTTCGCCTGTGCCTGGCCAACCACTGACGCCTCTCCATTGCCACATTCCACTCCTTCCAAATCAGTAGCAATTGTCCAGAATAAACTTTGTCTTGCCACTCCCTCATGTTGGCCTTGGGAAGACCATTCGTTATATGAGGAATATCTAGTGTGCTATGACCAAGAAGTACAAGTAGATCTACTTCGACATGAGCCACATTAAACTACTTACAGCGCATCTATTGCACAACCAATTTATCAACCGCCTGTGCTCTATAGCAAACATAGCAAAATCAATATACTTCCCCAATGTGTCATTAAAAGTTGACAATTGCCACAAAATATGGAAAAGAGTAAAAGTATTAATAGAGTAAACATGATAATGGAACAAGTTAGAGCAACACCAGATACAAGTCATAGCAACACTTCATAGGAATCGGTACATTCCAAGGTCTCCGTTCGCATAGCCCAACGCAAAACTGGAAGTCGTCATGCGACATATTTTTGTTATCACTTTTCCAACTGGCAGGCATCCAATTAGTTTCAGCTGAAAATCAACCAAGAGGTTTAAAATACTCCTATTTCATGCCCTTGACAACAACGCGACAATGTACTTACTCCATTTTGCTCATTCTCGGGATTCCACTTCAAGTAACGCAGAATTCCATCCGATCCTGCAAGCAAGAGTAGGCAACAATCCGGTCCTAATTCCTCGTGGTCGTAGAAGCCCATATTGAAGGCCGTAATCCTTTCCCCACCACGAAGCTGCAACAGTATTAGGTCGACTCAGAGGAAACACAACTTTCAAGAACAACCCTCCTTCATGTCTTCAACTGAACTAACTCATAAACAGACACAACACTAACAATATATCAATCTTGCAAAACCACAAGCTCATTAAGGGAAGAGATGGCTTCTAGAAGGACCAATGGAATAGAAATGCCAATTCAATATCAGGAGCTTCCAGAATTCAACACCTCAATAAAATCGGGATATTTGGTGAGAGGACAGTCAGATTTATGCGAAATAACATCAAAGTGAGGAAATCAACTGATGTGAACGTTAGAGAACAAAGAAAAGTGGAAATTTCAATTATGCTCAAATAGTGCCACACTTACTTTGTACTCTCCCAAGCACGCAAGTTTGTCATTGTAAAGGTGGATGGCTGAATAATGAGCATCCACAGTTCCAGAAACCAGAAGATAGCTAAAATTGCGCCAGAACACTTTCCCGTGAATTCATATTAATGACAAGAATTAACACAGTGTCATAGGTCACTCACTCCCTTTTACGGTAGGTAATCACCTGTAAGTCATCCTTTGACGAAATATTCGTCAATTGCTCATTGTTCTTTAGTGCCTTTGGATATATAGAGAGAAAAGTATAGCATGACAAATAATAAATAACAACATGCCATCTAAGATAAAACTGCAAATTCACCTTCCCATTTGTACCAAAGAATCGAAGCTCTCCGTTTACGAGGCCCAAATATCGTGTGCTGTGTTGTCCAATACTAAAGAAATTGAAACAAGCATTTACCCAACAGTCCTTGCAATGAAAAGACCCAATACTCTCACAAAACTCACTTGAACTTCTTTACACTAGTCACAATCTGAGGATAGGGATCGACGCTCAGTGAGGAAGCGACAGTATCTTTGTCAAGATCAACTTCACTTTCGCCAGTGCCAGAATCGACTTCAAAATGACCTATACGTAGATTTCCATCAGAAGTTCCACATAACAACTTCTTAGTTTCTCGATCATACGAAACCGAATAGACGAAGGGATTCGTTTCAGATGGACTAATACTTTCGTTGCTAAAATTTGGAAATAATGAAAGTGTAATAATTGAGCAATTGGCAAAAAATAAATCTGAATTCAAGGTTCAAAACATTCAGGCAATCTTATTGAATTACAAAACATCTTAAAAATTTAAATTTGACACCTAAGTTAGTGATCCAAAACAGTGCTGCCACGTTTTTCTGTTCATTGGAAGGCAAACATCCAATGAAAATTAGTACTGTTAACTAAATTACACCATCTACCAATAAGCACTGAGTATCGTGAACATGAATTTGCTTAGTAATCCAGACCACATACCATGAAATCTAGAATTTCAGTCACAAGGGAATGAATTAACCACCAGACAAACTTTTGTGCAATCTGAACCTAAGATCAAATGATAGACAACTCTCTGGTACACCGACTGCTATATTCGCTTCTTTTTAAGACTTATCCGACCATTACACCTACCCCCACAGCCAAATTCTCGTTTAAATCCCCCAAATTGATCGAGTCTAGATGAATCTTCTCTAACCCATACACAATTATTATTGAAAAGTTATGCAAAAATGACTAGTTTGGCAAATACATACAGCCAATAAGAAGAGCCTAGCATGGAGGGTGAATCTTCTTCCATGTCAAACTCGTAAGCGCAGCCATCAATAATTACAAGCCCATGCATTTCACCTGTTTCATCGACATCAACCAGCAGATCATCTATAGCCCGGGCAAAAGGAGGTCCGTAGAATTCTACCTGACAACCATCTCCAATGCGATATGCTGAAATTTGACCGTTGTCGCAGCCAACTAAAATGTACTTTCCACACGTTGTAATCGCTGTAACTGCTCCAGCAGCCTGCTTCTTCAACCCACCTATGACAAAACAACGCAATCCCAGGAATCGTACCTGTGTACACTGATGTCAAAGTTAAGCTGTTCACCAATCACTTACCAGAAATACGACCATCTGAACTCAACCTCCATAAGCAAACCTCACCTACACGATCATTAGAAGTGCCCGCAGAAACAAGAACACTTTTGCCTTCGTTTTCGACTCCAGGACAAAGGTGAATGGTGCTGCCGTCAAGGACATTCGCATGACCGGCAAAGGCCACGTTGAATTTCGGTTTGAAGATGTGCCTCGTCTTCAGGCTGAAAGAGCCATCGGGAAGCATGAACCCAACCGTAAATCTTCCATATTTGTTGCAGTCCATCTTTTTTTCGTCAACTGTAACAATCCTATCTCTCGATTCTGACTCTGGTTCGTAACCAAACAGTAACCCTAAGCCAAGTTCATCTACAAGACGAGAAAACGGTTACCTTGACGACATATAGTTTATGATCATTAAGTTTAACTCAATTCAAACGAACCCGCTTCTTCAGAATCCATTTCCTCAGGCTCTTCCTCGTATACACAGACACCAATGTTCATCACTTTCAACTTTCCACCCTGTCTAGCCTCTGGAAGAATAAACTTCCTTTTACTTTCAACACCAGAATCAGTTATGCCCCAAATTACTGTTGTTCCATCGGTTGAAGTGGATATGAGGAGAGATTCCTAAGGAAAAGAAAATGCAGTCTCTCACAATGCAGATTAGAGAATAGTTTATGCATAATCCTTAGTAACCCACTTTGAAAGAAACAGCAATCAATGGTTGTGGATGCTCAGTTCCAAACCAAACTGAAGAAAGTGATGGGAATGAGTCTCCTGGAAGGTTCATAATTTGCCAAACTCCAAGTGCATGGTCATTTCCACCCGACACAATGACATAACGTTCAGAACTCTGCTTGAACATCGTGAGGCAAGTTATCCAGTCCATATGAGCCTGAGGAATGGAGTCGACCACACGCACAGGCCAATGTTGTGATTCACCGTCGAATTGATACAAAACCAGAAGCTATTTCGAAATAATAAATAGGAAGAATATGTAGCTCTTGTGGGTGCGGAAACGAGAAGAAAAATATCAAGAGATCAAACATTTCTACCACTGCATAACACCAATAAAAGGAGTTATTGAGCAATAACAAGAGATTTACAGATCTGTGCATAACCACACTGCGGTGCAGTCAACTTTCTGCTCAAGTTCTATTCGTAGTAATAGAATTAAACCTTAAACTGCTTATTACGTTACAGGCGATCACTAAGCAGGATACTACAACTCTCACTCCAATTTCCCGAAAACATCCACTCCATATTATAGCCAGGCATATTATTGGTCTAGTTGTATACCCCATGCTACCCTTACCAATAAACGGTTATAGGAAAGAACTCTTTTCTAGCTTGGTTAGTACGAGCAAGGAGGGGAAGTATAATCAAATAATCTCAAGGAGCATTGTGAGCCACATATGGGAGAAATACAATTGATTGAAGGGTAAAGTGAGACATTGAGGTTTATTTATGTTTCCTTTGCAATCATAGGACACATCAAATCGTCTCATGTCATTAAAATTCCACATTTGCATTACGGAGTAAAATCATCAACTAACCCCATCTTTGCCACCTGAAACGGCATAGTTGTACGTCGACGTGAGAGAAGAGACGCCAGCAGTGTGGACAGCTGTTCTGCCCACTTCTTCAACGCTCTCCTCATCACAACCGCGTGCACCCATTTTCTTGCAGTCCAGTTTGTAGAAGCAGCACACACCGTCTCCACCACCACTAACGCCAAATCCCCCTTCAGAAGAGATACTCAAGGAAAGTGTACCTCCAGAACTCTCTGCGAACGACGTATTTTCACCGGAGGAATGCGACCACAAGTGATAGGGCTTTCCCAATACTGCACTCCTCCTCGAGCCTTGAAGATGCGACATCATCATCGACATTGACAAAAACTGCAAAAGTAGAAAAAGACACCCAAATAAAACCTTACCGCCATGATTCCATCAACTCTTCGGATGTGCGCACACAGCGACTCAATCTCTGTGAGTCCCAATACACACCGATCGTTAATGCCTTATTGCCAAAGAGTACTCCACTCAGAACTGTCATTCCCTCCATTCTCTTCTCGCTCCATTCACCAATACCCCTTCTACTCCTCCACTACACTCATCTCTTCACAATCCACCTCTTGCCTATTTCTACTCTTAATTCAACTTTTCATTCCATAGGACTCCCATAACCTCTTAATCACTACCAAAATCAGCCGTCCTGTAGTGCGAATTGTAGGCGAAATAGCCCTAGAACAACTTCATGTTCACAAGTACAAGTTTGCCACTTACTGAAACATTGCCATTAGCGCCACCCCAGCCAATCAGAGCGAAAGAAGTGGAATTCGGGACAAAAGCACAGTCGAGGGCTTGAACTCGGATCTTGTGAGGGGAAACATAAAGACTATGCCTGGGTTCTTTGGAGTGGTTCATTATGTAGCCTATTCCACCCCAGTCATCCCCAATAATTGTGATCGACACTGACAACGATTTGGCAATGCACACAGGAGGAGACGTCAGTTGAGCTTCAAACACACAAACTATAAGTGGACGAAATTTTAGATCAAACAACTTGGAAAAACAATAGGAAAGGGATAAATTGCCAACGAACCCTCCTTTTGTGATTGGCTCACATTCCAAAGAACTATCGATCCCACCAACGATTCGGGAGACCCAGTCTGGGCCAACAAACAGTCACCAGTCTCACTTTGTTTAATGAAGCACAACCTACTCGACACATGGTGTGGAATTAGCTTATGGTCTCTATCAAGTCGAATGATGCACTGCAATGTACTGGCGTTGACAAGTGTGACCTCTCCGATGTAATCCGCACAAGCCAGCACATCCCACTCTGGTCCCGAGTAGGCCAGTGAAGTGATGGCTACATGCCGTCCACGAACACCAGCATATTCACTGTAATAATGTTCATCTCGTCTCAACGACTTGCAACTTCCATAATCCGAGCCTACTAGGAGGACTTGATGCGTCTAAAAAAGACCCGTCAATAAAACAGTTAGCAAACAATGAATGTCAGCTGAAAAATAAAGCTTAATGGCAACGCACGCCTTTACACGGTGGTGCGGGTTCGGTATCGAACACCCAAACAGTACCATTCCAACAGCCCACAACCACCTTGTCCTTCACAAGAACCATTGCGTTAATTGGCTGCTTGTCAGTGGAAAAGTATCCACTCGACCTCTGAAATGACTCCAGATCCAAGCCCGATGCTGAACTGCTATCACCATCTGCGTCTCCAGAAAGAGACGCATGAATGGTGAAGACACGCACGTAACCGTCCAGTCCAGCAGTGAATAAACGCATTCGTTGAACATCCCACTCACAAGCTGTGATGCCACGACTATGCTCACCGGCAATGCGAGCCAATCGAACACCAAGAAGACCTTTTCCATCATCTCCCGATGGCACTAGTTTCCATACACACGCCGAGGCATCAGCAGACACTGAATATAGTAAGGAACACCGAGCAGACACTCTCCTGTTTTCCGCTCTGATAAAGGTGACAGCATTCACGCGACCACTATGTCCGTAGAGAGTGTTTAGCACCTTACCACAAGACATATCCAGAAGAATTATGCTCCCATTGTTGTCTCCACACGCAATAAATCGAACTCCGTCACTGGCTACACAAGAGGCTGACATTAGAGCACCTGGTCGGCACACCATCTCCATGCCATGAAGTTGATTTGAGCTAAGTGCAATGTAGGGTGAAACAGCCAACTTCGTGTTTGCTCCCACTATTCTCTCCAACTGTGTTTTCATCGAGTCCTGGCAGTAACCTGGCAAATTGATCAACAGCAGCTGGCCAGTTAAGTGCGGATACCTACAAGAGTCATAAAACCTCCCCTTAGTACATTACTACACCAACATATTTTCCACATCTTCCTCTGTCACAACTCACTTCCTCAGTACTCCATGCCCAAACTTGAACACAAAGTCTCTCAATATTGCCAACATCGACTTCTCCTTTTCAACCATCTCCAACCAAGCTCCACTTGTTTCAGGATCCGCAGTGTCTATTTCAAAGCAGAGCGTTAGCCAATACTTGGAGTAATTGCTTCCAGAGATCCCACCTTAGACAGATACTTACCGAAACCGACATACTCTTCAATCAGACCATCAATGTCATTGTTCAAGGCTTTCTGCTGAACGTAGCTGATACTGCTCAACGAAGACAAGACTATTCCCAGTTTCTTCGCGTGAAACTGTATCGAGGCAGATAAAAAATATATTCATGTGAAAAAAGGCATTTCATTCACACCCCAAACCCACTCCTTGAGGAATCAACACTTTGAGAATTTATGTTAGCTATACTGCCCATATAATAATAATAATCCAAATGTACTATTACCGGAGAAAGGGAGAGAGGGGTAGGGGGAAGATGAGGGAGAAAGGGTTGGGTAAACTCACCGCATAGTAGACCTTGTCTCTCAAACTATCAAAGTTCTCACAGAGCAGCAACCGGTATGTCTGCAACTCAGAAGGCGTCCAATCGAGCCTTGGAGGTTTGGAATTCTCACCGCACTTCTTACTACTTACATCACTCTTCATGTATCCAAGTCGTCGAGATGCGGATAAACGATTAAAATATGACGCAGATTCAAAGCACAAACGTCGGATAACTTTAGCCACCTCTGCACTGCATAACCTCAAACCGTTTGCCGCGAAGAAATTCAACTCCGTCGCATCTATCTCATGCTCCACCGAGGGGTCATCTGACTCACTCAGACCTCGAGTACTCCCATCAATGGATTCAAACCCAACCAGAAGAGGTTGCAGCTGGCCCAGGAGGACATTCAGAGCCATTGTTGATAGAACTGGATGCTCGACCGAGCCATCGTCCACTGGAATATCTTCCTCTTCTTCAGTGTTAAAGAAGGCTACTGCACCCGGATCAGCCTCTTCACAGGCAGCAAAGAGCCAGAGGTTGATCATTCGCTGCAATTGAGCCGGAAAGGGAGCATGTCGAGAACAGAGAATACAAGCCAGAGCTGTTTTCACCAGATTCTCTCCACACGCCACTGACGCTCGAGCCACAATGTGAGCAACTAAGTCAGGCAGTCTGTCTGGCAGGCTCTTCAAATCACTGTCCAACTGCAAAGAGAGCATGTACGCAAATCAACTTTAACAATAACGTCATGCGCCGGTGGGATACTGAAGTCCTTATCCCAACCAATCATAAAGCAATCTAGATTCACCCAAAACAATCTCCACCAAAATAAAAAACCTCACACAAATCATAAATGAGATTGAACATTATGGATAAAGGAAAGCACTTACAGTATCGAAGTTTGAGTAGAGACGAAGTTCATCACAAGCCATTCTCAGGTATAGAGGGAGATTTGAATCTCGCTTTCCAATAACTCTCGATAACTGAAATGTAACACTTACGTATTAATTTTGATCATGTCAGCAGAAGAAAAAGTGAAACGGGGGTAATCCGTTTTGGTTTCCATGGGGATATGAACCACATTGAAGCAACAAATCTAGCCACTCTTATCACCACAACCTATCGTTGACGCATGTTCCAATTCTCCTAACTTCAGTTAAAAGAGTGAAATTCTAATAACCACGACAACTAATTTATCAAACTTAAATATGATATAAGATATTTTCTCAAGGTTTGGACAGTCTTTTTCAAGCATTTCAATATCAATGCCTTCGGCCTTAGAGATTTGAGATGCTCAACGCAATACCATGCTCCAACGAGGAGACTAGTTCTTGTAAGCGTCTCCTTACCGTCACACCAGAGGCAAGAACATGCTCTTCTCTCAATCACAGGACGAACATTTACTCGCACACTTCTTGGCCGTGATCTAAACGTGTTTGTTTCACAATGACTAAGTCATTTCCCATCTTACCCACTCTATACTAAGGGCTTCAGTCGACGATACATCACCCACTTGGGTGCACGAAAAGAACAGGCTGAATGTGCACAGTGCTTGAAGTGAGGAGAACAGGTCGAAACTCGATTTAAGGAAATTATTGCAGTCACTCACCTGATTACCGAATCCGCTTTCTGAGAGAACTTTACCATACTGCGCAAAGTAGCATCTCACAGCTGCTGCCCTCTCATTCCTCGACAGCTCACTCATCGTCACGCTCAGGCAGTCAGATCGGAGATGCAGAGTTCTCGCTGCTTTCGAAGTCCCGTTCAAGGTCAACACGAAGCGCACATTCTGCAAGCATGAAAGACACGATCATGGATCGAAGTCCAATGCAAACTGCTCTCTTGCCTAACAAAACTCACATGTGGAATAACCGCGGGTATCCACGAGAGATTTTCGGGCACAAGATGATCAACTGAATCCACAATAAAGACGTAGTTATTCCTCGTGTAGATTCCGATCATCTCCACAAGTTGGCCGAACACGTCAATGCTTTTTCTGCATTTCAGTAGAAAATTCAACTCATTCCATCTCCAATAGAGGTAAAAACATTAATTAGATCAAAAAATGCACATACGCAAGGTCGCATCCACGAGAATACTCCTCCTCCAGTGCATCTAACTTAGTTTCAACTGCACTCCTATCCTCGCAACAAAGGTGCCTTAACTCGGACACAATTCGAGCATTCCACGCTTGAAGCAACTGGTTCAACTGGGTCATTTGAGGGATCGCACACAGAGTCAGGCCTGAGTGCATGGTGGTGGAGGAGTAGGCGCCCAGTGTGAGATGAATATACACCAATAGGTCCTTTCGATAGGATTCTGACACTTCAAACATCGAACAAGTACCAGCAGACTCCAACTCAGGAGTCCAATTCGATGTGGAGAGTGCCACAGCTAGAGCGCAAACCAGAGTCGTCTTTCCACTACCATAGCTTCCAGATATACAAAGAACAGTACCGTCCATAGCTAAGCAAACAATCACATCATCACAAGCTATTCGGAGCATGAGGCTTCAACTTCTCCAAAATGTCAACTCACGAGCTGCCTTCTTCGAAGAGTTCTTATATGGACGTTTGAGACCTCGTCCACTCGCTGAACGCGACAACTTCACTTGGGCACCCAATGTTGGCAAATCAACCAAGAGAGCTTGCAAAACTTCTCGAAGTTGTCTCGGCACCACTGAGGCTCCAATGGCTTCAAGATATCCCACCGGTATTGCTGCACCACTCTCCTCACTTCCACCTGTCAACTGGTGCTAGTGAGACAAAAACCAAGTTGGCATATAGAACATATAGCGAATCCGAAGTCAGATGATTTCTACTAATGATCTCGAATATCCAGTTAGATTAGCATATTCAATAAACGGAGTTTGGCAGCTATACCTAGTCGAAATGGCAAAATACATTGCTGTAGTGCTAAGCACAGGAGTTACGTTCATTATTCCCCTCCCCCCATCTACACTCATTATCCCTAGGTAGCACAACCTTTCTCCCATCATTACAATTCCCTCCATCTCCTTCTATCAACACTACAAACACACCTGCTCTCGGTCAATTCTGTCGCCTTCATGAATATGCAAGGCAGATCAAATTCATGCACCAGTGACAATTAGCAACAGTAAAGCGAAATAAGACGTACACTCACCTTCACTGAAGCATTCAAATGAACTTGCTTCCCAATCGCAGTATAGAGACATTTGAAGATGGTTTCGGCCAAAACTGTCAGATCTCCCATCATCGGCATTGAGCTAACTACACCAGTGAATGATGCGGGATAACTGAAATGCAGGACAAGAAACCCCATTAACACCATGACCCCGATTTAGCAATTGTGGGAAGAAATCGGCATTAAAATTTACGCATTCAACTGAATAAGACCATTTTCCTTGAGAAAATTCTTGAATTCCTCCAATTTCTGGCTCTCATGCGATCCTGATTGCACGAAAACATCGCGAAGATGTCGCGGCACGCCACTAAAAACTCCAAGTCCATTGTATTGAACACGCTCAAAGAACGTTCCACATTCACAATTAGTGACTTACTTTAAACTGCTAGGATCACGGAGGAAACACATCAGATTCTTCCGATTTTGTGGCCTCATTTCAAAGAAGAGCCGAGCTTCCATCTCAGTCACTGACATACCCTTCCTGTAGATCTTCAGTACCTCATTGAGAAGCTTCGGTGGAAGATTTCTAATCACCTCCTCGCTCGGAGACCAGCCATACCTGACCCCCAACGCAATTAATTAAACACAGAAACACATATTTAGGCGCAGATACAGTGCAGCAGAGAAACAAACCTTTCGCCAATAAGAAGGATGAGATAGTCCGATGTGACAACCTTCTCTAGGCACACACGCAGACAATCACCAGTCTGCGAGAATTCCAATGGCACTCCCCAACGAAGATCAATTTCGTTGAGCAGCACGGGGTAATCCAATTTGGACAACTTCTTGCGCAGAGCAGGGAAAACCAACCCCGAGATAAGATCTCTCTCACCATACATGTCCTGGAAAGTGGATGATACGAATACCTGAACTGCCATCACACTTCCTCCACCTCCACCCGACAATGCTTTCACTTCCGAGGTTGCCATATTCTTTGGCACAACGCCAGAAGCCAGAATACCTTTTGCAGGCTTCAGTGAGAGGTCCAATTGACGATCAATCGTCTCAACTTGTTGCACCAAGGAGCCGTTGCCCAAATGTGCCAGGACTTCGATTACGGATTCGCTTGCGGTAGGTATATTCAACCAACCCTCCCTGTTTTCCCGGTACCCACTGAAGAAAATAGCAAAACAATGCAACTTATGCTAATTCCATTTCCAATTTGAAATTTCCTACGTATCAACACCTCCAACAAACTTACACAGCAACACAATTAATCGGTCCTATCTGACGGGTTATCACATTTCGGAATCCTTCCCCGATGTTCGAGCCGCCTCCAATGACAACCATTGATGTGTACTGTATAACAATTACTTCCTAAAGGTGCACCACTTACCTTCTTCCTGTTAATTACAATTTCTTTAATTATCCAATCAAGTTCTACAGCCTAAGGAAAAAGGTATTATTTCATTTTCAGCATAATAATTGAAAGGAGACAAGTTTGCGCAACTTACCGTGTCTGCTTGAAAGAGATTCAGGCGAATGCTATTCTGAAAGAACGAGGCATTATGTTAGGGTCCGACACGGAAGATTACCTCTTTACAAATACTCAAATTTAGCCCTAATTTTCCTATCCATCTTTTACCGTTTTCTCCACATATACCTTACTATTCCTCTACCCTTGAAACACACGTTCATTTTTGTCAATTTTCCCCTTCAACATACACCAGCACACTTGGCTTCGCTATTCACCACCCTACGATGCTTTCGTCAAAATATTACGCATCCAATGCCTTCCACCGACCCCTTACAATATCCACATCTATTTACATCGTCTCCCCCCCCCACCCCACCCCACACCGTTGTGGTTGCAACGTCATCATGGCTTGGGCCGTTTTGTATCACAGAGTAATAGAGGGGGAACTGACATCGATTCAGGGCAAATGTTAACTTAACAAGACACGAAGGAAGTCTTTGGAAGTAACCAAACTGAAATGGCTAAATACCTCCTCAAAGGGGGGTAATACACTGGCATCACCAATAGCAATACTCTTCCTTATGCTCAACAACAATTTAGAACCTACACCGACTAATTTCCGGCTGCCTTGAGTCTTGCACTTTTCAAGGTTATTTCAAGCGCCGCAATTGTCTGGGATTAATATGGCCTTGACATTGAATTCAATGTGAGTACCTCCGGAAGAACCTTCCTAAAGGTAGCTGATCTAACAGCACACATTCCACACATGAAACGATTCTGTTTCCAGTCGAATTCAAGCGCTTTATCCCCATTACCAAGAGACCACTTCTCACTATATTCTAATTCACACTATCTTTATATACACACAGAGCTATTTTTAAAGCTCGGACCAACTTCGTCTGAGGTTCTAACTGAAAAGAACTTACAGTTATGTCCATGACGCTTTGGAGGACACGCCCTTCACCCGGCATGAGAGCTTTATTTCTCTTTGCCACTAAGTATTCGCTACTTCCACGTTCCTTCAGGAAGTAAGCGTCATAGTCTTCACATGCCATCATGCACATGATTGCCAACAAATAATCCTTCGAGAAGGACTAAAATAGATAATGGAAACAATATTCAATCAATTGCCCATTCCATTTGGCCTCTACCAATTCAATTTGAACTCTTACAAACACTGCCTATCAACGATATATCTACTATTGCAACTGTTGTAGCTTTATAGTGAAAAATACACAATTTGTAAATTGCAAAAATCTTACTTACACTAGTCCCAATGGTTTGAAGATTTTCATCAGAACCAGAGTCCACTAAAATGAGAGTGGAACCAGAAATCGTTGGCAAATTGAGTCGAATAGACAGATCGAATGCTCGCTCTAATGCCTCCATAAGTCTTCTGCGTTTCAACTCATCGAAACTGCAAATTTACACAAACTTGGAGTTGAAGTTTTATTCATTTTCGTATCAATCTATGATCAAAAACTAAATCGTTACACACACTACCTGATTTTGGAAGCCTTTCGAGCTTTTGACGATTGCTGTCGTCCACCTAGGGAGATTGAAAGTGCTAGAGTGAGTGAAAATGCTTTGAAGAAAATGCCAAAAATCCCAACAATTCCAACTCACTTTTCTTTGACTTGGAGTGTTCTGTCTCTTCGTTGATCATAGCCAGCCTCTGATACGCAGTCATGAAAGCTGATGGAAACTGCTTAGAGTTTGCCACAGCCTTCTACATTGAGATAGAAAGCAAAAAATCAAGCGCATTCGATAAATAAATGTAATACGCCTAACATTGGGAAAGAACAGATATTTCAATCACTCAGGGCTCTAAATGGCGCTTCATGAGATTCTATAGCAAAAGTCGACAATGGAATCGTCTTTTGGAGGAAGTGAAAAAGACGAAGTGAACTGAAACTTGCTCAACAACTAATAGCCAGAAAGTTGTTATTCTCACGCATTTGAAATATAAGAGAACACAGATAACAGGTTGGTGGGGGGAAATTGACAGAGCAAATTCCAGTAAATTATACTTTGTCTGGAAAACCAAATACTGAATTGCTATTATTGTCATCACATCGCCACTTCTAAGACACAATGAGGTACACCGACTTTTAGCAATTCTATCACGCACGCTGACTAATTCATGACCAATCCATGGTGGAACCAACCCAGTACCAAATATATAAATAATCTCGGGCTCCAGTCAGTAAATGCCTGGTTTAGCTGAATTGCCAGAGTCTTCTTACCCGTTCAAATCTTCAACACCTCCACCACCCCACCTCCCCAACTCTCATCCACACACCCCCTCCCCCTCCCTTTCTTACATGCTGAGACCTGAGCAAACGCAGAACACCCCAATAACAAATGGCTTCACCAAGCACTACAACTATTCTGACCCGTCTTAGATACATACAGAGCAGTATACTTAACTCATATCTTTGGTACACATTTATTACATTTTCGGTAAACTGAATGTGCCAGTATTACACACAAAGCCATCAGATGAACCACTTAAATCAAAAATAAGTCTAATAGACTATCGCTACGATTAGTCACAATACAGTTTCAACTTAAAATAATAACTTACTTCCGTTGTTAGCTTCTCCACCACTTTTCCAATATGTTCATTGTCTATATCCGCTATCAAGAGATTACGAAGATTGCGCAACATGGCCATGTAGGGAAGCTGCCCTGAATCTAAGCAATTTAAAGTAGTGATCAAAATAAACAGTTCGCAATAAATAAAATAGATCAGAGGTAATTCCTCGCCATACGGATGAGATCCTGCCAAGCCCAAACATGGTTCCGTTTTGGAGTGCTTGAGAGTTCTGTCTCCCAAGTATACGGAGTAGGTAGGCGCATTCGAACTCCAGCCATATCTGGGTCCCACTGCCCAGGAAGACCACTTTCAAGAAATTCTGATGCACTGAGGGGATACGTCTTTCCAAGCAGACACATAACACTATCCACCGGTTTTGAAATATGCAAATTTCTTATCATTTTCTTCAACGACAGCTTCACTTCTCCCACTCCTCTACTTTTCACAATAATTGGCTTGTTGTATTTCGCTACACAATGCAAAGTAACCTCATATATACGCAAACAAACCAAGCTGATACTGATCGAATTCCTGAAATTTCTCCACCATGGCATTTCTCAATGCACTCGGTAAACGCACCATATCAGATTTGGTCAGAATCTTTACAAAACCAAACAATCAGCCAAATTGGATCACCTACCATATACACTTCAGCCACTTTCATCCAATCTGAAGGAAGATTAACAGCAGCAGAGAAATACTTCGATAAGTATGGCCGACATTTGAGCGACATTGCGGAGTAAGCCAACAAAAAATTGGCTGTGAATCGAATATTCAAAACTCTTCGACAATAAGTCGCACACTAAAATAAATTTTTATTAATAGTTCCATGCCTTTAAAATGAATTCGGGATCTGTCTTTTCAAGGAACTGAAGCATTGTAAAAAGCGTTTGCAGAGAAGTGGTTGAGGATATTTGACGTTCCAAATTCAATGATGCCATCAAATAACATATCAAGTCAAGCTAAAATATGGAATGGCGATAAGATTAACAATTTCTAAATTCTCACTTTCTTTGCCTTTATTTCTCCGATTAATGTATTCTTGCCTTCGGAAATGTTGAAATCATATTTCAACTCGTCGCTTGAAGCTTTTAAAGTTATACTTTCCAAAGCGGATGGCATATGCGAGGCACCTTGCAGAAGTTCATGAAAAGTAAACTCTTGCACAACATTTGACATCTTTGGAACCTTGGTTGGTATGGAGTAGTTGGCATTGCCATGGTCGTCATTCGCAAAAGTTAAAGAATTCGAAGGTTCCCTGAGCAGTCGATTTTCCGTGTTAAGCGTGTAACGATACTTTGGAAGAAGAATCTTATCAACGTAAGTACCAAGCTCCATATTCACATAAACTTCCTAATTTTCTAGATAAGAGCAGTTATACTTTGCGTTGGTGGGATGAAGGTCAACGTTAATATCACACAAAACAAATTTGTAAACGAAATGAATGTTTGCGTTTGCCAATATATCAATATTTGATTAAATTTAGGACATATATTTTTAGGCATTCGAAATGAATTTTTTTCTCCGAAAATTTGCTTTTAAAATAATTAAGATAGTTCATAAAC